CGACGTGTATTGATTTCCATCTTGTGACTGTTGTTCCTCTTAACGAATTAATAGCCATTTGCCGTGCCTACCGCTCGGCGCCTATAAATTACCTTGTTTTTTTCCCGGAGTTAGAGAGCGAATGAATATATATATATCTCACTGCTTATTTTTGTGTTTTCCTCCTTTAAATTCCACTTCCATCTGCTTTCATCCAAAGCCTAAAATATCTGGCCTGAGAGACCACAAACATATAGTAGCATCTTGACTGTATTGGACATTATACCCGGTTTCCCTCCTCCTGTGTTGGTAGTGCTCGTTTTATAGAGTTCGCCTTCCCCGCATGACTAAGCAATCCTCCCCTTCTTTAACTATCCGCAATCGATAAAGACATCGTACCAACTGACAACCGCCAAACTGGTCATTATCCATGGATAATATCTAGACAGACGCCCTTGGTTGCCTCTCTGGAACCGCGTCGACATCTTCCCGCTCTCTTTGGTTCTGCATCTTCATATTGCCGCTACTGCTGTTCCTCGGGCTCCGGACGACAGATCACTATTCCTCTAGGGAGCAATATCAACCAACTAGTTCATTTACCCCTCTACTGAGCCCAGCTTGGGGTTGGTTGAGCCTCTTCCCTCTCACGTTGTAGTTGAATCAAACTACATATATCCAGGCAGAGCATCAACACCCCCATTCTAGATCAAGACTCAGAAGGCCAGTGAACAATATGAATCCCCATCAGCAAAACAAGGTCGATATCAGTGTGAGTTTTAACCTCAACCGGTTCAATACAAGAATACCTAACTGACCCCGCTTCACAATACAGGCCCTAAGCCCGGACGAGCAACGACTCTTCCGGCTCTATGGCAAAATGCCTACCAAGAAAGATCTGCTGCAGAATAAGTTGAAAGTACGTTAAAAACCACTCACCCCGAATCAATGCCATATTCTATACACAACACTCTACACCCTCCCTTCGACTCTCCGTCGTATTCAACGAAAGACCTTAACTAATCCCCAACCTCCCGTTGCCACCAACCAGGAACGAAAATACTTCGACTCAGGCGACTATGCCCTCAGCAAAGCCGGCAAGGCCTCCGACGTTGGCGTCACGAGCATCGGCTCCCGCCATCCTCTCCCAGAAAACATCCCACACCTAACTGCCACCTCCCCCCCGCAGACCAGCACCATTCCCGGCTCCTTCAGCAATGGACAACATTCCACCCTACCCCACCAGGGTATCTCGAACAATGGCTTCCACCTTTCTAGTCTCAGTCACAGTCCCGTGAAGGAGAGCAGCTTCCTACAGCGGGAAACTAGCTTTGATGATGAGCCCGAGCAAGAGGGGAAGGGGAATGGGAAAGGGGCGACTTCTAAATCTCCGGATGCAAAGGGTTCTGCTACTGCTAAGGCCCAAGAAGACTCCGTGAGTGTTAGGCCCCCACAGCATAAGGAGGGACTGCCTATACGGCGATGAAGATGGAGATTGTGAAGGGTTTCGGTTTAAATTTTCACAAGCTACGACAAATGTTGCCATTGTTTTGATACCATGGACAAAGAACCTAGCCGGGAGCTGGTAGTTATTGGCCAATTCATTTTTTTTTTTTTTTGAGGGTAATCACTTTAGTGACTGGTAAGGGAATTTGAACTTGTCTCCTTGCACTGGCATGTGTATGAGCAGCACACTCCACCAACTTCTCCTCTTCTCGGAGAAAGTGGTTCAATATCCTCTTCAATTTATATTCGATTCGAAGAACCCTTCCATGTCACTGCTCAACGCTTGCAAATGCCCTTCCTCGGTATCGTCCTGCAGTCCTTTCAAAATTTAACGTCCCTCACCTCCATACGGCCATATTCCATTTGCTTTCTTATTTATTCGCCTCTTTTATCTTCCACTTGTTCCTTACCCTTTTCTCTTTTTTATTCCTAATATGTTTTTTTCCAGTCTTCTTACCCCGGCTCTCAATCTTGTAGTGTTCGGTAACAACTATGGCCTACTGCCTATGGTCCATGGTGTGCTTTTCCTTTTTTCCTCTTTTTTTTTTTTCCTTCTTTTTTCTTCTTCTTCTTCCTTTTTTTTTTTTTTTTTTTTTTTTTTGCAGTGCCAAACATTTGCCAATAAGCTGAATCCGATCGGTTTTCTGGGGCGTTCTTATTTCATTGTATCTCTTATGTTATCCATGAACACGCGTGCACACACAGCCCCGATACCTTTTCCTTTTTCCCTTGTACATTTGCAAGCAAAGTTTGAATCTTAACTAAAGTCAATACTCTATGCAATCTCTCATTTTTATCTTGTTCTTAATGAGTCTGTCCACATTTGCAAATCTGTCCTATTGCTTGTTTGTAGTTAACTTCCAAGGTTCCTCCACCTAAATAAAGGGAGTCTGCTAGGTATTTCACTTCAACCTTGTGCTTTACACTGCTGTTCTGAATTTTTCTTTTTTCTCAAGACTCAACTTTTCATTTCCCAGTTTCATGAAGTTTCAACTTTTTATTATCTGACCTTTCTCAGCTTCTTCTCTTCTCTTTGCATGTTTATCAGTCTTCTATTCCCAAGCTCAGTTAGCTCCTCTATCCTTCTTTTCTCATATTCTTTAGAGAAGTTTATTAGTTTATTTGGGGCAGTCAATTGAAATTGAACAGACTGAACAACTACAGTTTAATTTCATATTTCATTTTCTTTTCCATAACACATGTCTAACTTTATAATAGTTAACTGAAAGTGATAAACTACAGCTTCTTAGCAATGTCAAATGACATCAGCAAACGGACTGTTTCAAATACTGAACAAGGATTCCACACAGCAGAATGAATATCAAGTGGCAAGCTCAACCTCCAGTCTTTCTCTCCTCATATATGTTTCATACCTGTCCAGTAACAAACACCAGGCGCCGATGATACTTAAACATATCCCATGTTGTGTACAAGTACACGAAGAAATTTGGCTCTTTGCACCACCCACCCAACCTTCCTTGATCAACAACCCCTTGAACCGATCCTTTTTAATTTCGCTCTACCGCGCCCACCACGTACGTACGTACCTAGATATAGATGAGTGATCATCGCTGCATCCAGTTTTCTTGCGCTCCCATAATCTAAGAGTGATACATGCCTAGCTCATTCGCTGCCCTTTTTGTTGCTATTTAATTATGAAGTCAGTTGCTACGTAATGAGGAGTCTAGATAAGAGGGGGATTTTCCGCAGAAAGATTGAGGAGATACTTGGCATGCACTGTATTGCTGAGATGGGAGGGGGGGGGGTTTAAAGACGGGGTTGTATATGACGCAGAAAGAAAGGGAGGGGAAAGAAAAGAAGCCGTTGGGTGGGGGTGGATTGCTTTACTGCAGAGGTAATACTGTAAACACAGAGACGCCCAAAGAGGGGCGGGTTGTGGTTTTCAAGGAGTGTGATGCGCCAACTTCCTCTGCACCCCTTGCTGAAGTCAACTTGCAGTAGCTGATGAGGTATTTCCAGGAGATCATGTAGGTAAGGGAGGAAATTCAATATAGTAGTGGAGCGCAGAAGACCAGACGCCGAAAATATGAGACAAGGGAAAAGAAATAAATTCGTTTTTTCTTCCATGTCTCTCTGTATTATGCGTGTTTATCTACCAGCCCAGCCCGTTAGATTGATGTTCTTTCTGGCGGAATCTTCCATCCGATCAGCTCTGCCCTGTATGTACACACATTACATTATATATACTCATATCTTATCGTGGAACATGCGTTAAAAGAGCATAAGGAAAGGAAAAAGATAATAGTGAAGAAAATGGGAAAGCAGAACCTGAGATTTTTTTAATAACGCATGAAGATGAAATAGTAGTGGAAGCAAAATGCAAGTCAAAAACATGATTAGGAATGGGAAAAGAAGGGGAAATAAATGGCGTAGAGACAACAATAACGGGAACACTCCTTCTGTATGGTCCCCGGGTCGTTTCATTCCTCTGTTCTTGTCACCCCGTCACCGACATAGACGCCACAATCGTCATTGTTGCTTCACCGCCGGCCCATCACGCAACTTTGATAATTGGACACGGACAGCCCCAAGTCCGTCCTTGTTTTGAATGAAGTCGCCCAATTGTGACTTGGATGGAAAGGGCACTGTGCAGAGAGAGCCGGTAGAAGGTAGGGAGGTTGGTTAAGCAGGCGACAGACGGTAGACAGTAAAGGATAGACGAATGGACGCTGGATATGGTATACTGAGCGGAAGGGTTTGCAGCATCAGTGGCAGCACGTGTGCTGTACTGTACATGGAGTTGGAAAGGGTGCGTGGAAATTAGGTCGTGTGAGACGGACGCTATTTTCTCCGCAATTTCACCTTCATTTGGGTTTCGTGTGATTGGGGGAGTAGACGGAGGTGGACGTGAAAGGAGGGTATTTCAAGGCTGGTGCTTGGTTGGTGCAAAGTGTGTGTGTGTGTGCGTGTGTGTGTGTGCGTGGACGTGGGCGGGAGGGGCTATATATCAAGAAAGAGGGGTATGTAAATGAGGATACGGGGAGGGAGACGAAACGAGCAAGACGGATGATGTGGGTGGAGTCAGCACGGGAAAACGGGAGATAGAGCGATATATTCGAGCAACCATGTAGTATAGATAGATAAATAAAAGAGAAAAAAGAAAGTCCATCAAAGATGAAACGAACCCAATTTGATCCAAAGAAGATGGGATGGGTGTCCTGGTACAGGTGTTTTTGGTACGTGCTCAATGTCGTATATGGCGGCGGCTTGGGCTCACGGTTGGCTTCTAAGGTAATCAGTCAAGCATGTGTGCCTACCCGACCACTGCGGGTGAAAATATTGAAGCGGCTTTCACTCCCAACCAAGGAAGCCCTCTCTTCTCCACCGACGCTTTTGCCGTGGGGTAAAATCAGGTACTGCCAACCCGATCTGGCTGATGCTGCGTCGACTATCAATCCCCTCCCCGATAATCTCCGTCAACTGGCCACAAAGCAGCCCGAAGACAACTGTTACAGAACAAATGAAGGACAAGCACGAGTTTCCCCAGTGTCCTATTTTCAATCCGTCTTCCAATGCCCCGCAAGCCCAGCGTCAAGGTCATCCTGTTTCCCCAACCACAGCTCAACTGCATACAAACCCATCATACAGCCCAGATTGATCCATCTCCAAAAATTCCCTCCAACGTCATTGCGGTTGCTCCACCACTCGCCATTCCCACCCATCGCTTGCGAGGTCGAAGCGAAATGCTGCATGAGCAAACTTGTATATACTGCAACGAGTATTGAGGGCGAAAACCAGCTCAGCAGGCCTAGAAATCGGCCTGCGCCATCGGAATCCTCAAGGGTGGCTTCCTGGGAAAGTGCGCGGGCGCCAGACTCGCGGACGGCAGGGATGATTCTGGTGGATGCGTAGAACACGAAGAGGCGGTATGTGAGAGAGATTAGGATGGAGGGTGTGACGGCGCTGAATGCTGCGCTGACGACGTTGAAGGCTGCGTGGATGATGGAGGGTAGAGTGGAAAGGGCGTGCAGGAGGGTTGTGTAGGAGGCCATGATGATTGGGGGTAAAGGGGGGAATGCTGTTGCTTGTGCGGCGGGGGATGCTGGTGGGGTGGTAACGGGCGTGGATGATTTATAGTCTGTGAATATTTGGTAGATGCACAGGACGATGTATGCGAAGAGGAGGGAGCTTTCGACGGGGGTTTCCGGCGACCGCTGCCTATGCCTCAGGCGCAAAGGAAGACAGCACAGGTGATGGAGACGCCAATCAGGCTGCGTCGACGTTGCTGATTCCGGGAACTGCTGGAAGGACGCGCCAGAGGAAGTAGACGAGCTTGAGATGATGAAGGCGACATGACTAGAAGGCCGATCTGGACGATATGATGTTAGCATATGAACCTTGTTTCCTT